AAGGGGAGGTGCACCTATGGCAAGAATTGCTGCATACAAGACATGTTGGGACTCTGGCTGCTATGATGTTGACTTATTAGCTGCATTTGATGATGCAATTAGAGATGGGGTTAATATCTTGTCATTGTCTCTTGGTCCTGATGCTCCCCAAGGAGATTATTTCAATGATGCCATCTCCATTGGGTCCTTCCATGCTGCAAGCCGTGGAATTTTGGTAGTTTCTTCAGTTGGAAATGAAGGGAACCAAGGCTCTGCAACAAATCTTGCCCCATGGATGTTCACTATTGCTGCCAGTTCAACAGACAGAGATTTTACATCTGATATCATACTTGGAAATGGACCAAATGGTGTTAATTTCACGGTATAACCATTTTTTCTTTGTTTAAAGAATTTCCTTTAGTATTTCAAGCCTCTTATTGGTTCTCTGTCATCAAATAGGGAGAAAGTCTGAGTCTCTTTGGAATGAATGCCTCTGCAAGGATCATCTCTGCTTCTGAAGCCAATGCAGGATACTTTACACCTTACCAATCCAGGTGAAGCAGCAGGTACTTGAAGTGAGTGCTACTGTGGCTTCCATGTCTGAAAACCTTAATTTTTTTTTTTTTTTTTTTTTTGGCTCTTCTATATGTTCCTGTAGTTACTGTTTGGAGAGTTCCTTGAATAGTACCAAGGCCAGAGGGAAAGTTTTGGTCTGTCGACATGCTGAGAGTTCAACCGAGTCAAAGCTGGGAAAGGGCGTGGTAGTGAAAGAAGCTGGTGGAGTTGGGATGATTCTTATTGATGAGGCAGATAAGGATGTTGCTATTCCCTTTTTGATTCCTTCAGCTATCACTGGAAAGGAGATAGGGAACAGAATTTTATCTTATGTTAGTCATACACGGTTTGTTCTAAACTTCTGTAGATGGAGATTTTGGTGCTCAGTACTCAAGTTTTCTCAGTTTCTCTGATAAAGGCTGTTCTGTTATTTAACAGCAAACCAACCTCTAAGATTTTCCCTGCAAAGACTGTGTTGGGATCTCAACCTGCACCTCGTATTGCATCATTTTCTTCAAAAGGTCCTAATGCCTTGACCCCAGAAATTTTGAAGGTAAATATTTCCATTTAGAATCAGGAAATAGGAAACTCCAGTAAGTCCTCTAATCATACTTTTACCCACCATTTGAGTCTGAAATTATTATTCCAATTAATTAGATATCCTATTTTTCCAACGGATGACTAAGTGAGAATTTGAGCTCATTCATATTTGGGGAATATCAATGATATTTCCATAGTCATAACTGAATTGTTGGGAAATTGGGAATATTCTGCTGACTCCAGTTCGTAATTATTTGTTTGATTCTTTTCTCATGCTTTGTCTCAATGGTCCTTGCCATCTGATTATTGAGCTTTGCAGCCTGATGTCACAGCTCCTGGATTGAACATTCTTGCAGCTTGGTCACCAGCAGTTGGAAAACTGCATTTTAACATTCTTTCTGGGACTTCCATGGCTTGCCCCCATGTAACAGGGATTTCGACCTTGATTAAAGCTGTTCATCCATCATGGTCCCCATCAGCTATTAAATCGGCTATCATGACAACTGGTATGCTTTATGTTCTATACCATCTTGTTCTTTTTGGAATTGCTTCTTGAATGACTTGACCCTCAATCATACTTCTCTTCAATTATTAAAGCTTCTGGGGTTCGTAAACCACCTTCTATGAACTTGTTTGAAGGTACAACTTTGTTCATTTAATAGTCAAGCATCAAGAAAACGGTCTATAACAATGTTAAATCTCAGTTTCTCCTTCCTGGGAATTGTTTTGCCATTAGATCAAATAATATTTTGCTAAAACCTTATAATTTAAGCATTCCATTTTAAATGAAAAATGCAGCCACTGTCCTGGATAAGAACCATGAACCGATCACAGTGGATCCTGAAGGAAGAAGGGGTAATGCTTTTGATTATGGGGCGGGCTTTGTGGAGCCAAGAAGAGTCCTTGATCCTGGTCTCATCTATGAACTGCAGCCAATAGATTATAAAGTGTTTCTATGCTCAATTGGTTATGATGAGAAGTCGCTCCATCTGATCACAAGAGACAATAGCACATGTGATCAAACATTCACAACGGCGTCCGACCTTAATTATCCATCTATCACAGTGTCCAATCTTAAGGACAATTTCTCAGTAACACGCACTGTCACAAATGTTGGGAAGCCAAGAAGTATTTATAAAGCTACAGTGTCTTCACCGGTTGGAATCAATGTTACAGTGGTGCCAAAGCGACTAATCTTCAATAGCTATGGCCAAAGGATGAATTTCACTGTGCATTTCAAGTTGAATTCGCCATCAATGGGTTATAAATTTGGGTTTTTGTCATGGAAGAATAGAAAAATAAGGGTTACTAGCCCTCTTGTTGTCCGGGTTGCACCTTCCAGCATGGGGTTGGTGAGATAACAATGCCTAATATGTATATATCAGCTTAGTAACTTTGAGATCCGTACAGTTACAACAGACATACATATGCGGATGCAGAGTCATGCTTACCTACAATGTTATGCTTTGAGCCTGGAAGTAGCAAGCGATAGAATTAGTGTAAAATCATCCATCAAACAAGCAACATATAATAGGATATATGATTTGAAAGAGGTTTTATGTTTTTTGGTTTCTTTATTCTTTTCTTCTTTGTACATGCGTGGATTGGCATACAAGAAACAATGAAACATTAACATATTGTAGTGTATCCTTTCTCTCTGCTTTCTGTTGGGCTCTTAAGGAAGCGCTGGTATACACATCTATTGGATGATACAAGCAATGACTAATCTTCAAACAACTTTAAATCAGCACATGTCACTTTTTTTTGTTACCAAATACAAATGAAAATCAGTTTCAATTCTACTTTAATATGAAGCTCCCATGGTTCAAACTTAATCTGGGGAGCATAAGATGTAAGTATCAAACAGAAATGGTTTCTTTGAATTTCCTTGTAAGGAGATATCTGGACATTTAATCCAACTTATTCCAAGCTAAGGTCGAGCATCTCCCATCTGCATGACATCACCAAAGTACAAACACAAGATCCACAGGACCAACGATGACAGACATGGTTCTGATGTGCAAACCTTTTAATTTTAAGCATTAGTGCTACTCAAATAAGAAATAGGAGTTCAAGCTATCTTGAATGCGTATAACACATCACCAGGAGCTCTTCAAATATGTGTAGCATTTCATCAAAAACTCAGCTGGAGCTAACAAGAGTCGAACCAAATCTTCTAATAGATCATGGGAACCATGCATACTTACCAATGCAACAACAAAACTATATCAATAACAATAATTTTTATAAAAAGAATGTGGTAACACTCATATACTGAAACGCATCATTTCCTCTTTTCTATTCAAATAATTTGAGAATTTTCCAACACCACTGATCACAACAATATACAATCATAAAAACCTCTAATTAGGTAAAGAAATTAGGAGCTAAGGAAATTGAGGCCCCTGTGACTGCACTTCTAAAGGATCAATCAGACCTTCTAACACAACAAGTTGGTCCAAGAGTGCATGCTTATCATCTTCAAGAGTCTTCACTTCATCTTCAACATCCCTCAACTCTCTCCCCAACGCATAGCTTTCTTCTTCTAGCAGTAAATATTTCCTTCTTAATACCCGGTACTCATTTCCAGATGTAGAGGAGTCCTGCACTGAATCAGAGTTGGACCTTTCTGGTAGTTGAAATGAAGAAGAGACTTCATTCTTCAAGTTCCTTTTGGAGGCCTTCTGCCCTGTTCTTAATGGCAGATGCTCCTCCACTTTTTGAAACTCTTCCTTTTGAGATGACATTTTCTTTTTCCGTGGCTTAGGATTTAAAATTTCCTCAGATGATGGCATGCTCCGATCTTGCATATCTAGCGCAGGTAATGTAGGTGAAATTCTTTTAATAGGCAACAGCACAATATTTGAAACCCCACCACCCCCAAAAAAAAGAAAAGAGCAAAGAATATGGCTTAGCTACAAAAATCAGGATAGTTGTATAGTCGTAGAAGATCAGATAACTGCATAACCATTTGTATCATACCCTCAATTAGAAATGGCATAGCAAGTTAAAAAATTTACAAGAAATAATCTCTGGATTTCAATTCCAAAAACATTTAAAGATAAAGACTGATTATTTAAAATAAATAAAAAAAGAGAGAGGTAGAGTGCCCGTTATAGCTCGCTTTGAAACAAACAACAGCCAGGTAATTAAAAGGAAAGTTTAAACATAGAGAGATAGATAGATGATTTATAAAAGAAGAATCGCGGAAAGGAAAAGTAAAAGGACTAAAATTGGCAGAAATCCAATCCTAATTCAACGGAAGAACCCTAACAACTACTGAAATTAAATACAAGCACACGAAGAAAACAAGGAAATCGAAGAGGAAGCAGAAATATTACCTTGTGAATCTCGGCCAACGTAAAACAACTTCTCATTGACTTGACTGGAGAATACAGATGATTATGTATGTTGAGGGTAAGCCAGAGAAAAACAAAAAGGACAAATTCAGTTCGGGCTCTCATAAATGGACTGGACTTAAGGCCCAGAACACAACTAATATTGGTTGGCCAAATTTTTACGCTAGTTTAATGATCCATGACTCAAATCATGATTTTGTTTTCATTATGTCTCAAGTCCCAGCAAAGAATTGATAAAAAAATATTGGATCATGTGCTTTGTTGGCCCACTTAAACTTAATTAATTATCTGTAAAGAGATGCATGTTTATGTCCGTCTTCGCTGGATTGCAATAACTAACGCTTTGGACTATTGAGGTTGCCAACTTGTTTTCAAATAATTCGGATTCTTGGAAGACGTAGAACTGTTTCTATTATCTTGACCATTAAATATGTACTATAAATCTCTAATGGTTGATTAATTTGATCATCAGATAGTTTTATTCTAATATAATATTTAATTTGAGCTATTATAAGGTGTGAATGCTGATGTTGATGTATGTTGAATATAATATAATTTTCTCATAGAAAATTTCCCAGTGAGCTCCATTAAGTATATGATATATAATTAAGAGTTTGTCCTCGCCGTATCTTTGTGTGTAGACAGTGTAGGACGTAGGAATAAGGCTGGCAATCGCATGTAATGACTCCTGCTCCTGCAACAAAGCTTGCTACCTTAATTCTTTTGGTCGTCGGGATTTGGATCTCCGACTCCGAGGCTAAGACTCAGAAGCTTACTGTATCAGAATATGAATTCGGGCCCTTCAACAGTTCCTATTACAACATCTTCTCAGTCATATCGCCCGCTACTATTAGCAATGAAGCCTTACAAGTCACTCCTGATTCCGCCGGTAACTTTACCCTTGTCAACAGGTCAGGCCGTGTATTTTTCAAAAACTCTTTCAAGCTTTGGGAAGCTACAAACTTGGCTTCTTTCAACTCTTCTTTTCTTATCAACATCTTCCGCCTCACTAATTCTTCACATCCTGGAGACGGCTTTGCCTTCCTCATTTCCCCTACTCTTAATCTCCCACCAAACAGCCACGGTCAATACCTTGGTTTGACCAACTCCACCACTGATGGTCTCCCCTCAAACCGCATCGTTGCCATTGAGCTTGACACTTTTAAACAGGATTTTGATCCTGATGACAACCATATAGGTCTCGACATCAACAGCGTCCGCTCTAACAAGACTGTGTCCTTGTCCGACTTTGGCATCCAGATCGCCCCTGTTGGTGTCAAATTTTATATGGTCTGGGTGCAGTACGATGGAGCTAACAAGTTTCTGGAGGTGTATATGGCGGAACAGAAGCAGGGTCCCCAGGGGCCAATCATTTCCAGGCCGTCCACGCCAGTCCTGACTGCGGATCTTGACCTTAGCACCCTTGTCAACCAAAACTCCTATTTCGGTTTTGCTGCTTCCACGGGGAGTGTCACACAACTCAACTGTGTCCTCAGATGGAATCTGACGGTCGAACTTTTGCCCGGTGGGAACGGGAATAACCAATGGCTGAAGATGGGTTTGGCAGTAGGTATAGCCGTATTGGTATTGCTGGTGATAGGGATTGCAGGGTTGGGTTATTATGTGCATAAGAAACGGGCTGCGGATGATCCCAATATACTGGGTACTCTAAAGAGCCTCCCAGGAACTCCAAGGGAGTTCAGCTTTAGGGATCTCAAGAAGGCCACCAACAACTTCGACGACAAACATAAGCTTGGTCAAGGTGGTTTTGGTGTGGTCTTTAAAGGCGTCCTGCCCAAGGAGAATCTCGAAATTGCTGTCAAGAAATTCTGTAGGGACAACCTCAAGGGCAAAGATGATTTTTTAGCTGAGCTTACCATTATCAATCGTCTTCGCCACAAACATCTTGTTCGCCTTCAAGGTAAGTTTCTTTTTTCGGGTTACACTTGCAGCTTTACATTTCAACCAATGCTTGAGATTAGACTTTCTGCTCTCAGTCAAATACTGTAACTCCGAGATATTCTCAATCGATATCATAAACTCTCTTAAGTCTTGTGTTATGTGCTGCATAAGATTTGTCCCTGGGAAGTGGTCCTACCAAACGTATCTTTGCACATGAAAAAAAAAGAAAAAAAAAAACGAGAGAAACATTTATAGAGTATCCATACTCTAATAAACTTCAAGCACGATTACATAGATTGCATTTATCATTATTTATGGATCGCCTCTCTCTATGATTATTTGAAATGCTTTCAGTTATCTTTTTAAGTTGGAGAAATGTGTTTACAAATAATTGGTAGATGGTTTTTAGTAGCTAGGTTTCACAGCCTTACTCAAATTTGACTCTGTTTAC